TCCATTCCTTCTGATCTCATAGCAAAGGATGCAGTTGTTCCCAGAGGCAACTAGCTATGTATTTCATGTCCTCTGCCTAGCCCTGAGGTGTTAGGTGTCATGGAGTCAGTTCCAACTCATAGCACAGCGCTACAAAACATTGCCCGGTCCTGCACCATCCTCACAGTCGTTATGCCTGAGCCCATTGCTGCTGGCACTGTGTCTATCCATCTCATTGCAGTTTTCCTCTTTTTCACTGACACTCCACTTTACTAAGTATGATGGCCTTCTCTAGGATCTGGTCCCTCCTGATGGTATGTCTGAAGTATGAGAGAAAAGTCTTGCCATTCTGTATTCTAAGGAGCACTCTGGCTATACTTCTAATACAGATTTGTTTATTGTTTTAGCAGTCCATGGTACTTTTAATATTCTTCTCCAACACCATAACTCAAATGCATCAATTCTTTTACAGTCTTCCTTATTCATTGTCCAGCTTTCCATGCATATGAAGCTATTGAAAATTTCATGGCTTGAGCTAAGTGCACCTTAGTCTTCAAACATCTTTGCTTTTTTAACACTCTAAAGAGGACTTGTACAGCAGATTTGCCGAAAGCAATAAATCATTTGATTTCTTGACTACTGTTTCCATAAGTGTTGTTGGTTGATCCAAGCAAAATGAAGTCTTTGACAACTTGAAACTTTGCTCCATTTATATGAATGTTGTTAACTGATCCATTGGTGAGGATTTTTGTTTACATTGAGATGCAACCCATATTGAAGGCTGTGGTCTTTGCTCTTTATCAGTAAGCATTTGAAGTCCTCTTTCCTTTCAGCAAGGAAGTTTTTGTTACCTGTATATTGAAGGTTGTTAATAAACCTTCCTTCAATCTTGATGAACCATTCTTCTTCATATAATTCTACATAAAGATTGAATAAGTATGGTGAAAGAATACAACCCAGATGCCCACTTTTTCTAATTTTAAACCATTCAACCACTCAGTGTTCTGTTTGAATGACTACCACTTACTTGGGCTATGTACAGGTTCCTCAGGAACTCAACTAAGTGTTCCAGAATACCTAGTTTTCAAAATGTTATCCATAGCTTGTTATGATCTACACAGTGAAAGCCTTTTCATAGTCAGTGAATCACAAGTAAACATCTTTCTGGTATTCTCCACTTTCTGCCAAGATCCATTCTGACATCAGCAGTGATAGCCCTCATTCCATGTCCTAGTCTGAATCCAGCTTAAAGCTCTGGTAGTTCCTTGTCAATGTGGTATTGCAGCCATTTTTTGAATCATCTTTAGCAAAATTTTGCTTGCATGTGATATTAATGATATTTTTAGATGATTTCTGCATTTTGTTGGATCACCTCTCTTTGGAATGTGCACAGATAATGGATCTCTTCCAGTCAGTTGGTCAGTAGCTGTCTTAAAATTTTATTGGCATAGATAGATGAGTTAGAGCCTCCAGTGCTTCATCAATTTGTTGAAAGATTTCAATTTGTATTCCATCAATTCCCAGAGACATGTTCTTTGGCAATGCCTTCAGTGCACCTTGGACTTCTTCTGTCAGTACCGCTGGCTCTTGAAATGCTACCGCTTGAAATAGTTGAGCGTCGACCATTTCTTTTTGGTACAGTGACTCCTTTCATCTTCTTTTGATGCATCATTCAGTATTTTATCCGTGTTATTGTTGTTAAGTGCCATCAAGTCGGTTCCGACCCATTGCGATCCTGTATAGGGTTCAAACTGGTGAGTTTGAACCACCAACCTTGCAGTTCAAACTAATTTTGCAGTCCAGTGCATTAACCCACAGCGCCACACCAGGAATCCTTTTTATTTAACCCGTTGTTGTTGTGTTGTCAAGTCAGTTCCAACCCATAGTGACCCTGTATAGGGTTTCTGATAAGCAGCTGTTTGAGTTTGAACTGCCGATCTTGTAGTTCAAACCGACTTTGCATTCCAGCTCATTTATCCACTTTCTACCTATAGGATTCTTCAGTATTGCAAGTCGAGGCTTGCATTCTTTCTTCAGTTCTTTCAATTTAAGAAATGCTAAATGTGTCCTTCCCTTTAGGTTTTCTAACTTTTAACTTTTTTTTTACTCCAGGTTTTTGCACATTTCATTGTAATACTTTGTCTTCTTGAGCTGCCCTTTGAAAATTTCTATTCAGCTCTTTGACTTCCTCATTTCTTCCATTTGCTTTAGCATCTCAACTCTGGAGAGCAAGCTTCAGTCTCTTTTGACATCCATTTTTGTCTTTTCTTTCTTGTCTTCTTAATGACCTTTTACTTTCTTCCTATATGATATTCTTGATATCTTCCCACAACTCTTCTGGTCTTCAATCATTAGTCTCTACTGCATTAAATCTGTTCTTGAGATGATCTCTGAATTTAGGTGGGATATGTTCAAGGTCAAATTTTGACTCTCATGGACTTGTTTTAATTTTGTTCAACCTAAGTCTGAGCTTGCTTATGAGCAATTGATTGTTCCACAGTCTTCTCTGCCCTTGCTTTGACTGACATATGGAGCTTTTCCGCCTTCTCTTCACAGAGATGTAGTCAATCTGATTTCTGTGTATTCCATCTGGTAAGGTCCATGTGCATAGCCATCTTTTATGCTGTTTAAAAATGATATTTGCAGCGAATAAGTCATTGGTCTTTTAAAATTCTGCATGTAATTTCCAGCATCGTTCCTACCTCCAAAGCCATATTTTCCAACTACTGATTCTTCCTCTTTGTTTCGTTCCAATCACCAGTAATTATCAGTACATCTTGATTACACATTTGATCAATTTCAGACTGAAGAAATTGGTAAAATTCTTCAGTTTTATCATCACTGACTTTAGTGGTTGGTGCATTAATTTGAATAATAGTGGTATTAACTGGTCTTTCTTACAGATGTATGGATATTATCCTATCATAGAAAGCATTGTACTTCAAGATAGATCTTGAAATCTTCTTTTTGATAATGGATGTGGCTCCATTCCTCTTCAATTTGTTCATTCTGACATAGTAAACCATATGATTGTCAGATTGAAAATGGCCAATACCATTTCAACTCATTAATGCTTAGGATATCAATCTTCATGCATTCCATTGCATTTTTGACAACTTCCAATTTTCCTAGATTCATCCTTTGTACATTCCATGTTCTGATTATTAATGGATGTGTACAACTATTTCTCCTCATTTTGTGATGTGACCCATCATGAAGTTCCAGAGAGCTTTACTCCATTTGTGTCATCGTGGTCAATTCTACTTTGAGAAGGAAGCTCTTCTCCAGTTCTTCTAACATGAGGGGCTTATCTTCCAGCAATAGTATCCTCAAAATGGATTGAAAAGTGTAGACTTTTTGACTTTGGGTTTGATTATTTTGAGAAACTAAAAACAATCCTTGCCAAGATTCCCACAGACTTGCATCTAGCTAGACCCTATGAACATTTTTCAGTCTTCCTGCTACTTGACCTCTTGTCAGCTTCGAACACTATTGACTACTTTCTTTCTTCAGAAACTTGACTTTTTTTCTGTTTTTCTACCAATATTTGGAGTTTCCTTGTAACTATCATAAGGTTCTTTTGTCTTCTCACTACACTTTCTTTCAAATAATCTGTTACATGCTTATGACCTTGATTATCCCAAGTACACAGCTGACTCACAGTCTTGTATTTCCATTCCAGCCTTCTCTGAGCTACAAGTGTTTACTAAGGCAAGTCTCAAAAACACCTCAACCAAACAAGTCTAGACTGACCTTGTTTTATTTTATTCCCAGTCTGAATTTCATCTCTGGTCTTCTTTCACTACCTATCTGGTTAGGCAAGCTAGAAATCTCGGAGGCATCCGTGACTTCTCCCTTTCCCTCACCAGTCACATCTCTTCTACCACCAGGTCATCAGCTCACTTTTCTCCATCCTCCAACCACTGCTCTAGTCAGGCTTTCATCGCTTCCCAATTCAACTCCAGCAGTAGCTGATCTCTGATCTCCTTGTGTTCACTTTGAACTTACTCCAGTACAGTCTGAATGACAGCCAGATACATTTCAAAACATAATTTGATCTGCTTTACCCTGCTTATAATCTTTTAAGATCTTCTCATTGCTTTTTAGATAAAGCCAGAATTCCTGTCTATTTTTACCTTCCCGGATAAAGTCTGATATCCATTTAAGTGGGTTCACATAGTAGGTACTCTAAAGAGATCATAGTTTTAAAAAATGAGCTTTTTTTTTTTTTTTTTTGTCTTCAAGTTTTGGACCACTTAATTTCCTTATATAGTAACAATATTTACTTGATGCAATTGGTTTTAGCATACTTACTGGGTAGAAATATGTAGAGATTGAAGTTTAGACATTAAACTTCTGAGCCACAGGAAAAATTGGTCATTCCTCCATTCAAGTAGTTCATTCATATTTTACCTACTCGGATAACTGAAATGTGGTACAACACCCCCCTGGGTTTCCCTTGTATCTCTTCTAAAAATGTGGCCAATTTTTTCAAGCTTGACTGGATGGCTTTTGTAAGGAAATTTGCCCTTTTAAGTTAAGAAGACAGGTCCTTGTCTTCCTGCCCTCCAGAAGCTAGTGTAATAGAACAAGCATACTCAAGACATCTTGGACTAAATGCTGCTGTAAACCACAATGGAAAAACTGCAGCCAAGTATTCCCAGTAGAAATCTTGGAATTCCTTCAAGTATATTGAGATTTTTGTTAGAAATTGAATTGCCAGTGTAATCCATCTTCCTTGTGAGAAAACATTCAGATAAAGAGCTGGGCCCTAGCTGCATTAACCATTAGAACATCCCTTAAATCAATAAGCTACAAATCTGGCCGTGCATTCCTGGTGGTACACTAAAGTGGCCAGAGGCTGCAGCTGTATGACTGATAGCACAATGGAATCATGAGCAAACTGCATGGTGCTGCAGATTTCTACGTTGTATCAGGCCTTGCCTTGTTAAATTCTTCTAAGTGCGATTACCTTTTTATCAATGCACATAAAAAGAGCAGTGTTTTCTTTTGTTTTTCAGATTGTCCAAATGTGGTTATTGAAGGAGTTCTCCATGGAATCTTTTACCCTCACCTACAGCCCAGGTAGAAATCCTACCTGGCCGAAAGAAGCTAAAACAAGTTTCGAAGTCTTTGTCAAGGAAATTGTTATTTATCGAATTAACCGAAACTCTATGACATAACAGCCCTAGCTAGTGGCAAAATTCACAGTCTGTGCGTAATTCAGGGCAGGGATGTTCCCATTAGAATGGTGCTTTTAAAAATAGATAGTAAACCAGGGCTGTGGTCAGGTTAGGGCCAAGTATTTAAGAAGTTGGATACAGCTGCCAACTTGGAAACCCATGAAAAAGAGACTCAGAGCATCCCCTGGGAATACTGCGGACACAAAACAGAGTTACTCTGTGCTCCAGGAGCACCATTTGTTCACTGAAATCCATATCCTGACTCCCACTGATCAACTTTCGGTGTTTCGATTTTATGACACACTGATCTGTTCATCGTGGGATTTTCTCAGCTAGTGATAGGTACATTCTGAAGAGCTGACACGAGGCAAGTGTCAGAGAAACACACTGTGCTAAATGTGAGGAAGGCACTAAACTGGAAATTAAGTTATACTGACAATATCATGAAATCTTAAAAATCATGGCATTTTTATTTATGTTACAGTAGAGTTGCATCATACCCAGGGGTCAGTTTCTAGCATCAGCCCATAAGAAAAATAGGGTCTTATCAAGGCTACCCTTAAAGCCCTTTTGGAAGGCTCCATATTAGAAATCTGTACATCTACCACAACCATTTTTTTTTTCTCCAGTGTTACAAGAAATGGCTATTTCTTCAGTTGAAGACCAAATGGAGTTGTTGATATTTGTTCAGTGACCATTATGTGTAAGAAGCACATACTAGTCTCAAACTCAGTCCACAAAATGTTTGTCCTCTGAGAGGCAGATGTGAACTAACAGTGGCTGAAGGAATACCGGATTGATAGCACTCATCTTGATTTGCTTGAGGACATATATTCATTGAGTTGTTGTTGTGAAGTGCCATTGAGTCGATTCTGACCCATAGCAACCCTGTATAGGATTTCCAAGGAGCAGCTGGTGAGCTTGAACCTCCGACCGTGCACTTCAAACCATTGTGCAGTCTAGTGCATTAACCCACAGCGCCACACCAGAACTCCATTCATTGAGTAGGTGGTATTAATTACCACAGCATTAAATGTTACCTTCCTTATCATTTCCTTTTCACTTACCTCATATACTGCATTAATATAAATTTAAGTGTCAATGATGTGACTCTACTGTACTTCAAACAAACATCCATATTTATCTTACATGGTTCATATAAAAGTTAAAAGCATATGTGCTACCTGTATGTATGTATGTGCTATATTTGGGCATTTCCTTGAAAAATAATTGATGGCTAGCCTATTTATGTTTGTTTTATTAAGCTTCTATGTGGGAGAAATATATTTAGAATCAAAACTAATTACTAAATCATGCCTTTTGATTAGGATCTAAATATATAAATTTAAAGCCTGATTCAAACTTTTGAAGACATGTTTTATGATAAATTATGTTGCAACTTCTTGGAAACAGAATTAAGTAATCAAGTGTCATCAACTAAAAATAACTGTATAATTAAGTAATGGAAATATTTTTAAATGTTTTTGTTATTAGCTATTTTGAGTTAAATAAAAGCAAAAAATAGAGCATATTTTAATTAGTCTTCCGTTACTGGGATTCTATCTGAAATTTAATTGTGGTAAATATATGTAGACAAACATTTGTTACTTTGACATTCTTTACATGTACAATTTGTGTGCTGCTCTTTTATACAGTCACACACTGGGCACTGGAATGAAGTGTTCAGTTGCCACTACCTACCTTACAATTGTCTCTCCACACCCATGTTCTTGCTTGCCAGCCACCACAATGCAAAGAACACCCACTTCAATTTTCACTCCACATAACATACATCCAGTTGATGAAACCTCAATTTCATTGGGATGCCACACTGCAAGGGAGTCTGGGAAAGACTTAGGAGCTTCTGGCCTCTGTAGCTCAGGAATGTATATTAGGAAGATACATATTTCCATGGTTGTACGTTTAAGAAAAGGATATATGAGGCTAAGTAAAAAAGTATTGCTACAAAATCATAGAGACCTTTATTAAGCAAAAATATCCCTTGAAGTCGTTTTAAAACACAATGTGAAGCTACTGTTTCTTGACATATCTTACATCTAGGCCTATATATTCTGAGGGCAGTGTTTCCATCTCTGACCTTTCCCCCAGAGAATTCCACAGTCTTCAATTTACACCACATCAAAACAGAAATTTTGGCATCCTCAAGGGACTTAAATAGTGTTCCTTTTAAACGTTCTTTGATTTGGGGCAAGAAAAGCCTGAAGGGGCTAGAGCACAGGGCTGTAAGGTAGATGGGGTAAGATTTCCCAATAAAATTCTTAGAATTTCGAAATCCCCTTGCTATCCTCCAAGAATGAACAGGCACATTACTGTGATGGGGAAATTTTTCACAGTGCAATTTTTCTGGCCTTTTTTTCATCAATATAGGTTTACATTTCCTTAAAACATCTCTATAATAAGGTCCACTCATCATCCTTGTTCTTTGAGAAAGTCTATCAAGATTTCTTGGGATTCCAAGAAACAATCACTCTAACTTTTGGAGCTGACGTCTCTGCCTTGAATTGAACTGGCTTAGCAGGTCCCTTGGAAGTCATTGTGACTGGAGTTTTTTGTTGTTTTGTTTTTTTCTGAAGACGCCCTAATGAGATTAAGACAGGTGTATTACTGAGAGAACTTGTCTGCATCCATCCACTGATCTCAGAGATATGTTTAAGTAAGACATGTTTGAAATACACTTACACGTATGAACTAGATCCCATTTACCTGCATATAAATAAGAAGACTGTCTTAGTCTTCGATCCTTCCCAGGTCTGTTTCCACAGACAACCACTATACTATATTTCCAAAAATATTTAATCTTCAGGTAAGTATATATGGTTAATTTACTGTACATATATTTTACCTCACCCCCTTTTTTATAAAAATGGTAGCAGTAATACTTGTTTTTAACTTATTTTCACTTCATTTCATTTATTATCTTGGCAATCTGTCCATGTTAGTATGTAAGTGCTTTCTCATCTTTTTTATGGTTGCATGGATCTGCTATGGCTTATGTTGTAAAAAGTACCATATTATTTTTTGTTTTCGGTTTCTGTTTAATTCTGTTATACATAGGGTCACTATGAGTTGAAACTAACTCACCTTCCTCTAAAAACAGCAACAACAATATTAATAAGTATTTTTTGTGTCCATTTTTTCTATGATGTTATAGACAATAACTTTGTATATATAATGAATTTTATTAATATTTTCATGAAGTAATTATAAAGTCAAGATTAAGACAGCAGAAAACTTTCATTTTAAAAACTAGCAGGGTGTCAGATATCTTTATGCTAAATTTCATAATATTTACTCTCGGGTTTTATTGGGTACAGTTATCACATTTTGATGTGCACAAAGTCCACAGTATGAATGGTATTACCCATGCTTGGAGCTTTGCAATTACAAAAATGTTTCCCAAAAAACCCCATGAGGTCATTCAAAGCATGTATTCATTGACAATTGTTGTTAAGTGCCATCGAGTCGGTTCCAACCCATAGTGACCCTGTACAGGGTTTCCGAGGGTGTAAATCTTTTCAGGAGTAGAAAGCCTCATCTTTCTCCCACGGAGCGGCTGGTAGTTTCGAACCGCTGACCTTAAGGTTCGCAGCCCGATTCCTAACCACTACGCTACCAGCGCTCCCATTCATTGGCAATAGAAAAATAAAAGGTAGAGAAAACACAGAGAGGAAAAAGAAATCCTGTGACTCCTTACAGCAGGACATAGGGACTATCCCTACTCTCCCAGCCCCCTACTTCATGAACTTGGTGGTTTGTCTGGGACTAGCCTCAGACCATCTCCCAATGCTGTTTTATATGGAGCTTCCTTCAGTCCTAATCTCCATGGCCTGGCTAGTTTGCATCTTGGCAGCCCTGGTATCACACACTTGTTGTTAAGTGTTATCAAGTCTGCTCAGACTCAGACCCAGAATAGGGTTCCAAGGAGTGACTGGTGAGTTTGAACCTCCGACCTTGTGGTTCAAACTTACCTTGCAGTACTGTGCTTATCCTACGGTGCAATATTCAAACTCTACATCCTCCCTATCTAAAGCAATTGGTGATATGTACAGCCCCATGAACATTATGACCATCATTACTGACCATATTATGACATCAAAATATATCCTACATTTTGTAAGCTCAAGCAATAGTCAAACTCTACATCCTCCCTATCTAAAGCAGTTGGTGATATGTACAGCCCCATGAACATTATGACCATCATTATGACCATATTATGACATCAAAATATATCCTACATTTTGTAAGCTCAAGTTGAAAAATCCAGAAATCTTATCACTGTTTAGAGAAATAACAATTTAGAGAGAACAAATGATTTTCTTTTCACTGTAGCATATGATCAAGAGACAATGATCCTGATGGAAGAAGTCCAAGGTGCAATGAAAGCATTGGTAAAGAACTAGGCCTCAGGAATAGATGGAATACAAATTGAAACCTTTCAACAAACAGATGTAGCACTGGAGGCTCTCACTCATCTATGCCAAGAAATTAGGAATACAACTGACTCTCCAACTGACTGGAAGAGATTTGCATTTGCACCCTTTCCAAAGAGAGATGACCCAGTGGAATCCGGTAATCATAGGACAATATCACTGGTATCTCATGTGAGTAAAATTTTACTAAAGATACTACAACCCGGGTGGAGACCTGGTTGGCCAGCAGTGTGGCAAGACCTGGGGACTCTTGGACCCAGAGTCAGTGACATAGCCACAGAGGACTAGAGTGGAAAGTGAAGCATCCAGCTCATGAGAAGAGAGGGCATATGCATAAGAACACCCACACTTGCAGATAATACCCACTTGACCTGGCTT